AAAAAAAAAAAAGAAATCAAAATAATTATTTCAAATCTTACCGCTTTTCTAAGATCATATTCATCTCGACCTTCATTAGTCATTTTTTCGACTTTACGTTTTTCATTTTCATATTCTTTTTTATATGATAAATATTCTTTCCATGTTCTAAATAGAAATTTAATTATAAATATTTTTATAATAAACTTCTTTTTTTTTGTATGTGTGTTTTTCTTACCGTTTAGAAACACCAGTTTTAATTTTTAAATCTTTTAATTTATCCGTCATTTTTAAGAATTGATAAAACAAAAAAAAAAAAAAATCTAAAATAAATTAAAATTACATATTAAATTATTGCACGACTAGAAAGGACAACAATCATCATAATCATACATATATAAATAATTACTATAACAACATCGAAAAAAATAAAAGCAAAAAAAAAGACTAATTTATGTCATTGTAGAAAATGTTTGTTTAATTTCTTTTAATAACATTGTTGCAAGAACAAGTCGATCGGAATTTATTGTTAAATTTACTGTTAATTCAGGAATGTTTAATTGTATTGTAATGAGTACTAATGCTTTACTTGATATTGTTTGACCAGAAAATCTATTTAAAAAAAAAACAGATATATATATATAGATGTGCTCGTTGCTAAGACCTTTCACGGACAAAGACTTTAATATCGGAAAAGAAAGTGTTAACGAGTATTGAATTTATTTTAGAGACATTTATCAGAAATTAGACTATAGAAGAATAGTTCTAATTCTTTCTCGTGTCTCTAATAAATGAAAATATTTTGTTTTTTTTATCTACACGACAATTGAAAGACATATAGGTTTTTAAATAATAGATTGATTTAGTTATTCTTTTTTATGTAAAGTTTAATTTCATAAATTTTCTTAAAATTTAATCTATTCCGTATTGTTTTTATTCTTACCGATATATAGTTGAATTACCAGACCCTAATGGTACTGAAGTAATATTTGCACATTGTAATACTTTTGTTTGAATAGATGTAAAATTTAATTTTCCCATTTGTGTTTCACTAACATTAACACTATCAGTTATTTCATTCATACCACGAAGATGAGCTAAAAATAATTAAATTTATATTCAAAAAAACAAAAATTTTCTTCTTATTTTACCTAAACTTTGATTAAATTGTTGTTCATTTAAAAATTTTTGTTCAAAAAGTTCTCCAACATGACATG